CCCGTCGGAATTATTAAGATTCGGTTGATTTCCATCAACACTTTCCAAAAAGTCACTTTCCACAAAAGAATATTAAATAAACATATGGGAACTCAATCCTTATCGCTACCTTCAATAATAAACTGAACAACTGATGCGTTAATTGAATTTCTCCAAGGATCTTACGTAAGCACGGTGAATTCATGCCCCATATGCTCGCTGGCAAAAGTTAGAGGCGCTAGGGGTAACTGCGGGTATGTTGTGATTGGTGGGAAGGTCTGCATAGTTAAATTCGTCGGTCTTATCACTAAAAATTGTCGAATCAGATAACTGATAATAACCAGGCATACAATTGAACAGGATATGGAATGTGCGAAGGAGAATCTTACTGTCTGAGGGAACTGGTTGCATCGTTATGAGATTGGCTGGAACAGTATTGGTCCCACCAGCTACTTGTTGTGAACCGTGAGAGCCCTTTGGCTCGTCATGACAAAGATGCCCTATACTTCTTTTTATGCATCGTTGACAAGGACGACCTGAAAGAATAAAACGAATTTGTTTTACAACCGTTGCCTAATAAGTTCACCAAAAAAAAAAGGTAAAAGCAAAGTACCGTCGTCACATGTCATATGAGATCGTCGACAGTATACACATGCTATAAAAAAATCCACAATTTTAAGTACAAAATTTCAATGTGTAAACAGCTCATATAAAAGGAGTTACCATGAGTGACTTTTCTCCTCTTCGGTCCGGCTCTCTTTTTCTTTGTATCTGTTTCCTTTGCCGCGATTGAAGCATCACCAGCATGTTCAGCCTTTACAACGGGATCAGCAAAGTTCGCAGACTCTACCTGTTGATTCTGTTGAAGAGATTGTTGAAGAGATTGTTGCTGAGAATGTGGTGAGGTATTATGTTGTTGCTGGGAGTTATCCATGACCACCTCGTAAAATTGTTGAGGGATTGAGATGAGTTATCATTGTTCATTACGTGATTAAAAAAGACAGGTGATTTAGAAGAAGTGCATAAAAATATTGACCAATCAAAATTGATGCAGGCACATGTATATGACTAATCGACACCTGAAAATAATGCAATATCATGTCCACCCAAACACCCCAAACATCATTGTATGTTCCCGAGAACATCGTTTACAATGGTAAAACGGTAACCTTCATTCGTTCTTCGATGTCAGCGATCACCGGTTCAGCAGCTGGGATCTTGGGGTTGACCGGATACTATGGATTTATCTTTTATGGATTCACCTCCTTGTTTACATCTTTCCTCATTTGGACCATGAAAACACAAGCAAAACCTAGTTTATATTTTCGTAATGGTTCAGACGTTTGGACAGAGGGTATATTCGGTGGATTGTTTTCCTATGTGTTATTTTGGACCCTATTGTATGGAATTGTACACGGTATGTATACTCAGAGGTTGAAAAAGTGTATCAAATTTCTCATGGTAACTTTTTTTCTTTTCAGTATACGATTAAGAACGTTGGTGATCTGTTTTAACCAAAGAGTTGCGAGTTTGGTTTATATTAAAAAGATCGGATTCTCAATAAATGTGATAAATCCACATAATTCGAATTAATAATGATGTAATAATCTTAGAGACAGTTTTTAAGTAACAAAAAATAGAATGTAATTATAAATCATTTTATAAAATTGCTACCCTAATCTGAATTTGACAATTAACTTGATTGCATTTTGAAATATATAATTATAAATGGATACACAGTGGATTGAAAAAAAAACTTTAAGCTCAAGTTTATAAACTTTAAATTATTTATTATTATTATTATTATTATTTTATTTTTATTATATATTGTATAATTTGTTATAAAATAATATTCAACTTGCAATCTCTATACAACTTAATCTATAGGTTTATGAATTAGTGGTTAGTACTCTATAGATTAGATAACAAAAACAAATTCTCTTGAAGATAATATTTGTTAATTTAATCTTATAAGAGACATATTATATATTTGATATTTTTAAATATAATCATATACTATCAAAATTGAAAAAAATTTTATAATAATTTATTATATAATTTATAAAAAAATTATAATTTAACTTAATTTATTATTATTAATAATAGTAAAAAAAATAAATTTATTTATTAATAAGATTTTTTTTTATTAATAACCCTAGGTCGGGTTAGGTACGTATGCTTTATTAAACATTTGTATACTATACATTTTAAATGATTCGCTAAAGCTAAGACTTTACTTAACTCACTTGTCACTGTTTTGACTTAATATATCAAAACTCTAAGTGCAACTTCGGAAGTGATTTGTTGTTTCATTAATGGTTCAGGTAAATATCCTTCCAACCTTTAACATCATTGCCCACAGATCACCATTACAAATCATTATCCATTGTTCTGATCCAACTTAAAACCCAACCACTTTATTCTATAAGTAATACCTTTGAGTAAAATTTCTTTTAAGCTTTCATTTTCTTGAGTTTCTTCCTGGTAGAGGATTTCTACTTTTGGGGACTGATGGTTTTAAGCTATATATGCTTGAGGGTCGGTTGATTTTTTCTACTCTACAGATAATGATGGGTCCCTAAAGTATTTAGTATATAAAATTTTGCAGATCACTTATATCCTTTTTTGAGGGAGAAATTTATGGCTTTTCACTTTAATAGGAACAAAAGTCAGGAAATTCTATAAATCAATGATTTAGATAATGGAGAACAATTATGGATAGTTTTTTTATAGTTATTAATTTAAAAATTTTAATGT